CAACTAGGAACACTAAAACCAAAAAAATAAAATAAAATACTTGGTAGAGATTCTGACCAATCCCTAGTCTACTGAAAAATACATCTTTTATTGGGTTTATCAGTGCCTGTGTTGCCAATGAACTGCATACTTTCTGTCCCTGTGGTCACACAGGAAGTGAAAAAAAACTTTTTTTTTACATTTTGGATAGAATGGGGAAGAACCCCTGACAGATTTTACTGCCATCTGGGGCACATTTTGAGAGATACAGTCCATAAACCCATCGCACTTAAAACCGCTGTTCCTTATAAAAGACGGGTGCTGCAGCAGTCGACGGATGGCAACCGTCTATAATCACAGGATAACAGACACCGGCACTCCAAGTAATGAATCAATGGCGTCTGTTTATTGACGCATGAAACATAGCACAATGCATCAAAAAGCAAAATTTCAGGGTCTCACAGGATCCCCTTCATCAGGCAAAATGAGTGATGCATCACTCATTTTACATTTTGAGAGATTTCCCCTCACTTTCAGTTCTGGTGACAATCTTTTACCAGACAGGAAGTGAGTGAAAATCCACAACAGCAAGGCAGACAGCAATAAAAAACACTCCCTTACTTAACTTTTGAAAAAAACTATTTTTACTTCTGTCTGTGTTGCTGTTAAAGAGATTTACCCTCTAAATGTTTTGCTATCTTGCACTCTGAGATCTCTCGATTTATATGGCAGGGACATAAAGCGAGATTTTTCCCGTGGTGTTCTGACCAGGCTCAAATCACAAGGTGGAGTTGCTCTTCCAGACTATCAGCGCTATTTTCAGGCCTGGGCTCTCAACCTGGGCTCTCTGTTGATGCAGGATCAAAAACTTCACATATTGCATTGTCATGCCCGCTCTCGACCTACCTTAACTGAATGGTTTGTTAAAACTGACCAAATGTGTCACTTGGCAGAATTAACTTATTGCTCTACAAACCAGAGAGATCGTTTTTATAAAATATGGGCTTGTGGGCTCGCCTATAAAAATACTCCTTATTTGAATGTTATGGCTGGTATCTAATGGTATGCAAGACTGCCTATTATGGTCTTCTTGTATCCTTTAGTTTTCATTTTTGTATTGTATTGCATGGCCTCGAGCGCAGGATGGCCAATTCCTTTTCATTTCCCTCCTTCTCCTTTTCGTTCCTTTCTGTTAATGTCACCAATTGCATTTTTTTCCCTTTTTGTGTCTTCTATGTTATATTCTTCTAATATTCTTAATAAAAAACGTATTAAACTGAAGAGATTTACCCTAATTTCCTGTTCTGGGGGGGATCATTTTACCAGACAGGAAGTAAAGGAATCTTGCCAATGGGCCCTCTGACAAGAGTAAAGCCTGATAGTGGGAAAGGATTAGAACTCCTATTTATTTATTACAGGTATTTATATAGTGCCAACTATTTACGCAGCGCTTTTACACATCAGTCACATCAGTCCCTGCCCTCAAGGAGCTTACAATCTCAGGTCCCTATCTCACATACAAGGGCCAATTTAGACAGGAACCAATTAACCTCCCAGCATGTTTCTGTAGTGTGGGAGGAAACCAGAGTGCCTGGAGAAAACCCGCGCAAGCACAGGGAGAACATACAAACGCCTTGCCGATAGTGTCCTGACCGAGAATCAAAATCAGGGACAGCTCACTTTCCAAAATGCATGTTACAAAAAATGTTCTCAAGAGAAAAAGCAAGGGATAGTGTGATGCTTTCATATGCACCGGTGGCTCACAGTAACAAAAACAAAATGCTAGCTCTGCTCACAAATACATCAGGTTACTGCACTTACCACAGGCTTTCGCTGCAGTGATACAAATCTCTTCAGCAACATATTCCCCTGAAGGTATTGAAAGATAATCTCCATCTGGTTTTCCCAATGAATGATACAGAAAAATGTAGAAGCCTGGATCACATGGCTTTGACGCAGAATGCAGCATGATATCTCCACTTGGGCGAACAGCAGAAACTGTACTCATGCTCATTTCAGTCATGGTGAGGCAAGCCATTACACTACTTCATATGTGTTACCTGTAAAAGAAGGAGAATTTTTATTATTTTGGTCCATGTTTTTTGTTGAATACATTTTTGTCTCTCAGAGAATCAAATTAAACAAAAACATATAAAGTGCCAGAAAAATAAGTAACACAAACATGAAATAAACCTTATACCGTATACAAAGGATTACAGCAAAAGTGGAAATAATCAGCATCTGCACAGTGATGCGAGCAAGGGCGGGTCTCTGTAGGAAAAAAGAACCCCTTGAACCAATGCAAATTATTCCTAGGGGTTTGTAATGATAGCAATGGTTGTAAAACACTACTATAGAGCGTTCAGTGCATTAGGGGTTATTTGTAAGAAATATTTTCCAGAAGAACTTAAAATGTCTGGAGAGCTGGTCTTGAAAATAAGCAGTTAAAAACAAAGGAGAATTGTACTGTAGTGTGCCATCAAATGGAATTATGGAAATTGTTTGTGTGATAATAAACAAGTTATTTTTATACCCTAATTAAAAGGTGACGTAAACAGTTTTATAATGTCATCATTTTAAACTAAATTAGCAGCTTGCCAACTAACTTTTTCAAATTACATTGACAACAAACTAACGCCCATTATTAATGCAAAATATCTGCATGCTCTAGTGCCCCCCTTACTTTATTGGGTATAGGTAATTTACTAAAAAATATATTTCTTTCACATTTTGTATACATGCTCTCAAATTCTCCTGTTTATACAGTAAACTCCCAGTTATCCGGCACCCAAGGGGATCGGTAGATGATTAATAGTAACGCTCAAGCAAGCACAGGGGGCAATAAAGTTGTTATCGGTACATTAGAGTGTCTCGGGATTCTGGGCTGCAAGGGGCTCTGAAAGATGGTGAAAAATACAGGCAGGCACACCTCATTCAAACTTCTACAAGGTATTTTTGGATAGAATCTCCTTTAACATTTAAGTTTGTAATAAGAAAAAAAACAGTTACTGACTGAGGTGCATGTTAATATATACAGATGCACCAGATTTATTACTGCTAACATAAATTGTAAAATACAACAGTCGTCTTTAAATTGCATGCCTTGAACTACACCTCCATCTAATACAGGGGTGCCCAATCGGTCGATCGCGATCAGCAAGTACCATCCTTTGGTGTTCAATGAATTAAAGGAGAACTAAAAGGCACGTGATTTACACTCCTCCTCATACCGTGTTTCCCCGAAAATAAGACACTGTCTTATTTATCTTTTTTGCACAAAAAAAGACACTAGGTCTTATTTTCGGGGGATGTCTTCCTGGGCTGACTCGTATTAAAACCGAGCAGCGGCGGGGATCGAGATCACCATAGAGCAGACGAAGAACGGACGTTCTTCGTCTGCTGTGTGTGATCACTGAGACTGTGGCGCTGTAATCACAGCGCCACCTGTCTCTGCGGTCACTAACTGCAGCGTCTGTCACACCTACGGTCTGTCGAGTGCTCCATAAAGCACACCGGACCTCCCTGCGTCCCATGGTCTGGTGCGTCTTATGGAACGCAAAATACGGTAGTGAGCAATAGCCCGCTATATACTGAGCTTTGGGTCACCAAAGGAGGTTAGTATATGTCCTCCCATGACCCTAAAGAGAATTATGGGATAAAAAGGTTACCCCATAGTTCTCTTTTAAACCTGAACTCCAGGTAAAACAGAGAAATACACTAATGAAAGGCATCTATGGCAGTTGTTTTACCTGCCAAATGACTTGTATCTCCGTCCATCTGGTCCCGAGCTATACTCTGCTCTGCCACACAGCTCAGATCTGCATGTCAAGGCAGACCAGGTATTCTCCGTTGCAGTTAACACTAACAGGGCTTGTCCCTCTCCCAGCCTTTTACTGGACTTTGATCAAGAAATTAGCTCATCTGTTGCTTCAGAACTTACTCTGTTCTGTCCTCCTATCAGCAAACTCCTTGTTAGCAGATGAGAACTACAGCTCAACTGACTGGCTCCTTGTTATGCCCTTCCTTCCATTTCTGCTGAACAGAGGATAGCAAAAGGCCGATACGAAGTCAACTACAGGTACTTACATTAAGGGATGCACAGATTCCGTTTTTTTCAGTATCAAATACCGATATTTTTTTTTTTTTTACAGTACTCGCCAATACCTAGCACCAATACCGGAAGTCTTAAGGATGCCAGGCCGGTGTGCAATGGCTCACCACCTGGCTTCCTGATAAGGTGGGATGCCGGGTGGCATGTAATGGAGCCGGCTTTCTGGCGGGTAATTACTCACCACCTGGCTTCCTGACTGGTCGAGAAGCTGCCCAATCAGGACGCCAGGCGGTGAGTCATTAAACGGTGCCCGGCTTCCTGATTGGCAGGGAAGCTGGTTCCATGCTCCCTCGTCACCAGGTGTAATGACTCGCCGCGTAGCTTCCCGATTGGTTGGGAAGCTGAACGGTGAGTCATGACCCGCCCCAACTTCCTGATTGGCCGGGAAGCCGGCTCCAAGTTCCCTCGTCACCAAGTGACGAGGGAGCATGGAGCCGGCTTCCCGGCTAATCAGGAAACCGGGCAGCATGTAATGACTCGCCGCCTGGCTTCATGGTACCGGAAGTTCGGGTATCGGGCTAGGCATCGGAGCATTTGGGCGAGTAAGGGTACTCGCCCAAATGCTCGGTATCGGCACTGATACCGATACTAGTATCGGTACATCACTAATAACGTTCTATGCATTTTAAATAATACAATAATTAGAGTGCTGCATTCATTTCTGAATATTCTTATCCAGCTGGAGTTCAGCCTTATGTTTTTTTCATATTTTTGCCATTTAGGTAGCAACATACAAGATATATGTAAGTTGTTTTACCTGCCAAATGATTTGAATCTCTGTCCATCTGGTCTTGAGACGCACATTGCACTACCACACAGTGGCAGTGCAGGAGGATTGGGCTGCCTCCTGGGGAACCTGCAGCCAATTTATCCTTTGCTTTATATGCTCCAAGATGGAGGCTCTCATAGATTAGAGTTAGGACCACACTACACAGAGGGGCCTTGAAGAGGCAGTGTGGCTGCCCCATATTTTGCAAAAGTTGTGCAACTAAAACCTCTGGTTTTAACCCTAATGGACAGTGTAATTTGTTTTGGATTTTTTTTTTGTAGGCTGGCTGGTAAGTGTGCTGGGAAATGTTTGGTTTTCAACTGTGTAAAGCTCTTCCATGTGCACCTTGCTTTAAAGCTGGTTATGAAATGATGAGTATGTTTGCCGTTCGCTTCACACAGCACAGACCTATCTGTCAGGGCAGACCTGTTATTCTGTCCTCAATAGGGCAGGGTTAAAGTTAGGGTTTAACTAACTAGCTAAGCCTGTTATATGCAAGTTTGAGATGTAATGCCTCTCCGGTGTATTGCCATAGAAGGAATATGGCAAAATTAACAACAACTGGCTACTATGAAATACAAAGAGGGGAATTAATCAAACTGGAGCAGACAAAATCTGGAGCAGTTGTGCATGGCATCCGATCAGCCTCCCTCTTTCATGTTCAAATCCCAACTTAACAAACTAAAGGGATAAGCCGATTGGTTGCCATGGGTAACTGCTCCAGGTTTTGCCTGCTAAATGCACTGTATATGGAATTCTATCGTAAGCAAGTATAATACTAAGTAATAACTTACACTGATAAACAACAATATATTAGGGTCACAATTGTAATCCCTTTAATCATATCAAAAGAGAGAAAGAGAAGCTGAAAAATTAACCTGTATGCTATAGTAGGTTTTCTCGTTTTTACAAACTAAAAAAAGGAAGATTTAACCCCAAGTAAAATTTTGTAAATATTGCAAATGCAATGTAGAATGATTAGACAGGCAACAAATACAAGTGTACTAAAGTGTGTACACACACACACACACACACACACACACACACACACACACAGAAACCCTTTCATCTACTTTGATTTCAAATATACATGTTGGGCTTTAATATAATTTATTTCCTTTAAGCCAGTAATAACATTAAAAAGAGCCCACACTGGCATCAAGCACAGTGACTGCAGAGAAATAGATTTTCCTGTTGCAGTACCCCATAGATGTACCTGGTATGTCAATAGCACAAGCATACCAGGGGCCCGGCGCTCTGTCAGCAAGGGGAAGCTTAGCCAGCCTGCTCAGGCTATGTAAATAGGAATTTATTACGAGCACCCAAATTACAGACTGTGGCATTTGCTGCAATTGAGTGTATAAGAAATGTTCTACTGATCCTGCGCTATAGAAAATGTTTTTTCGTTCTGCTGTTTGTTCCAGAAAAGGGTTACAGTTCATATCCCCTCGAGACACTGTTTTTAAAATGTTGCATCTAAACGCAACACATTTTTTTACAGAAGGAATCAGACTTCAAGTGTAAAGGGTTACCAGTTACCAGGGTTATACATATTTATCCACACACCATATGATCAATATCAGGCAGCACAGTAGCTTAATGGTTAGCGCTTCAGCCTTGCAGCACTGAGGGTCCCTGGTTTAAATCCCAATCAGGACACTATCTGCAAGGAGTTTGCATGTTCTCCCTGTGATTGTGTGGCTTTCCTCCAGGTACTCCAGTTTCCTCCTGATGCTAGAAGATTAATTGGCTCCTGTCTAAATTGGCCTTGTATGTATGTGAGATAGAACCTTAGATTGTAAGCTCCTTTAGGGCAGGGACTGATGTGCAACTTTGTAAAGCACTGAAACACTAAGTACAGTTTGTAATCATAGCTGAGTGTCCCATTTGTGGATGACACAAGGCACAATATGCTTTCTGCTTAGTAGGGCTCCGGCCCGGCGCTACCGCAAGGCAAGTCAGGCGGTTGCCTGAGGGCGCTGCAGGGTGAGGGCGGAAAAAACAGGGCATTTTGACAGGTACTTGTACTTGTCAAAATGCCCCGATGTTTGCGCAATGTTTTTTTTTCACTTACCTTCGGTGCGGGAGAGCAGCGGCGAGTCAGCGCTGGTCCGGTGGGAGGAGCTCCAGGTGGGGTCCTAATTTAGCTGGCCGGCAACTGCCAGAGGATCCCGAC